ACTATGTTCAGCTGGGCTTAATCGAAAATTCTTAAGTACATTTAACCCAGTTACCAGGTCAAGAAGATACCGGGGACTGATAGAATTAAGTCCGGAAATTAAAAAGGAGAAACCACATAGAGGATAGTATATTAGAACCGGTGGCAAGTCATAATTTTCAATGTCATAATTTCCATGAACACACTAAAAAGTGTCGAAGAGCCCATGGACTTTATGACATTTTCTAAATTTTGTCCAGTGACCTTAGGCACACCATAAAGCGACATAATGTCCATTTTTAAAATGTCGTAATGTCGAAGGACATAAAACAGAAATGGTAAATTTGTTTAGAATATAAGAAATAGACATACCTTCGGCCGGGCGCAGGAGTTTTAGACTCTGGCGTATTTCGAATATCGGCTTCACTAAGTTAAGCCTTTTTTCGATAAATGGACTATTTGAAATCCATGGACTTTATGTCACATTGTTCATGAACATTGTGACACTTTTGAAATTGTCATAACGTCCATTGACATTATGACATGCCACCATTTAAGAAGAGGCACTCTTATCTCAAATATAATTGATCCCAACTTCGGCTGTGCTCAGAACATTTAAACTCTGGAGTATTTAGGATACCGATTTTGCTAAGTTAAGTCTCTTTTATAAATGCACTATATATAATCCATGGACTTTATGTCACTTTGCTCAAGGACATTGTTATACTTTTTTGTGAAAGTGTCATAACGTCCATGGACATTATCAAATTGGACATTATATTACGCCACAAAGTTGACCGACTTTGATAAGTTAAGCGTTTTTTTTAAATTCACTATTTATAATCCATGGACTTATTTCACTTTGCTCATGGACATTTTTACACTTTTAAGTGTGTTATAATGTCAATGGACATTATGACATTGGGCATTATCAAACGCCACAATTCATGCTTATGGCTAAGTGCTTCTCATATCTTTATTGACCAAGTGCGTCTATAGAACACATATCACTGTGTACTAGATATATTGGAAGCTATCCTTCCCCAATCGCATACAGAAGTTGTCGTGAGCTGTTAGGTACTGGGGAGTTACTCCCCTATTTCTTTCGAATCGAAATGTGGAGTAACCACCCTGATCGCATATAGAATATCATGTTCAAAAGGAACACTAAAGCGATTATCAGTTGAAATACTTTGCTTCCCGAAAGGCTGTAAACAGGTAGACAAGCCTGATCTGGAGATCTACAATAAAACCCCAGAAATCGAATCACAACCATAGATTTCATCCCTAGTTCATGCAATACTCGAATGTGTAAACCATTTCGACAACAAAATTTGACATTACCACAGTCAGAGACAATTTGAGCGATTTGATAAGGTTATTTATCAGTTCATACTGGAGTTTAAGAGATTTTTAACCCAATACTGTTTTAGAGTTAAGCTTTGCATCATATGAATACCAGCCCCTCGGGAATAACCCGCAATGAAAGAGCAAATGTACTTTTTGTTATAAGAAAGTAAATCGAGGAAGTTAACATGATGAATGCAAAGCCGTTCGACGTTACGAAGGGTAAATTAAAAACATGTGCGACCGTTGGACGTATGGCACTTGATTTGTATATCAACGGTGAGTTAAACAACAAAAATTCGATGGAGTAACCTTTACGAAAGGGGAAAGTCCGATGGTACGTATTCTGATTGGACATACAAGATTACGAGAACAAATATACATAATTGGGGCAATGGATTCAGACCAATGAAGGACAGTAAAACTCTGCAGCATTGCTAGGCTTTCGTCGAAATTTTATTAAAATATGATGTGAAAAATTCCTATCAAAATAGTCACTTTAGTTTTCATAGTAAAGATTTAGTTCTTAGTTAAGACTTTCTATAGAAATACATTTCCTTACTTAAACAATTTTAAAACTTTAAAATTTCTTTTGAGGACTTAAACTTTTTGTCACACTAAAAACATTAATTTTTCCAAAATGCTCAAATGAAATCTGTAATAAACTTAAAAAGTATATAATGTTAGTGTGAGTGTGAGGTAACAATTTTCATATATTATGCATGAGAAAACTAATTTTAAATTCATATTTTAATAACAACATAAAATTTATATGTATGCATGATTTAATAAGCCTCTTTCTGCTTTTTTTTCTAATTCTTTCGTATTTCATCCTTTCTTTAAAATTATTACCCCACATCCATGTCCCTTAAGTACATGAATAACGGTTAACCAGCATTAAGCCTGAAATACTAGTGGGTAAAATACATTTCATACTTACATCTAACTACAGCTGTATATAAAAACTATAATGTGTGTGTGTGTGTGTAGTGTGCCCAACGTTGTTGAGAATAACAAGGACATTCTTTAAAATTTTAATGTTCGTTATATTTCAAGTAATTGCTTGACGAGTTATAAATAATTTCAAATGGAAATTAATTTATTAATTACTTTACATATCACTGGTAATCTATAATAGAGTCATTTAACACTTTAGGAATCCTGGTTACTAAAAACGTAGAACTTTGTTAGTATTTTATGCCTACAAAAGGTTTTAAGCAAAAAGCTCTCTCGTGATCTTAAGCTTTAGTAAGAGAGATATAGATTAATCAAAAAACTTTTTGTAAGCAACAACTACTTAAATAGATCTTTACCTGTCAACAGAATACATTCTAAGATGTGTAACGTTAGCCAAAAATGCTGGGTTAATAATGTATGTATATAACTATATATCTAAGTACAAATAGTATGTTGAATTCTAAAATGTGTGTTGTTGCATGAATGCCTGTAAAGTAACTAACCACTGTACTCGCAAACGCAAGTGTAGTAATAGTATGTGTTGCTTTCTATTTATATTTGCGTATCCTTGCAAATCTTTGTATCTATACATGTGTCGGTTCTTGTTAAAGTACATACATCTGATGTGATTGTATTAGTTGTTGTGGATTTTTATCTGCATGTTATTTGAAGATTCCATACACAAAACACAAATTATGGCACTTAATCTTTGGCTTCCTTTTAATATTGCCATCGTATACAAGTTATAAATAGAAGACTATAAAATTCCTAAAACACACACACACACACACTCAAATATATACAACGACAAACAGTAAAGGATACAGCAAAACAAAACACAGTTATATGTTGAAAGAATACTGTGGTATTAAAGCCAATGAACTTTGAAATTTACTTTTGGTGTTTAAAGAAAAATAAGTTTTCTTTTGAACTTTATTTCCCTTTTGAGTTTTTTGTGCTTCTTTGTGCTTTTTTTGGTTTTTAACAAAAATATAGATTTTATGGCCTTGTTTACTCTAATAAGTCTTTATACATATTTGTACTATTTTATACTTTAAATGGCATAAAAACCAAAATCAACGTAGAGCATGATGTAGAAAAAAACTCTTTTATACAGTTTTGTTAAACCATGACATAGACGGAATTTTAAATAAGTTCAAACTCTTTGTCATTTAGCTTAGAGTGAGAAAGAGAGAGGGCGAGAAATTGACATACAAACACTTATACTCTAGCATATACATTTATTTACAAAAAAAAGGGGTATTATTAACCTAACCTAACATTTTTTATGCAAATATTATGCTTAAACATGCTTTTAGTGCTGTTTTTTTTTTGTTCTCTACTCTTTTTGTGCTTTTTAAATTTGTGCAGAAAAGAACAAAAAAAGGTCCATCAGCATCAATTTTGCTGCTGTTTTTTTTTTTTGTATTTTAGTGGGTTAAGGACATCATCATCATCATGCCAGTACAAACGCACATACTCACACATCAAAACTTAAATATTTATATTCATTTGTATTGGCCCAGAAAACCTCTATTAACCCAACAATCTAACCAAGTGTCGTAGTATCCTTTTTAAACTGTAGTCCTTTGAAATGTCCATTTAAAGGAAATGCTTATTTTCGGATCTATTTACGTTGCAGACATAGTTAATAAACTGTCTTATGAACTCTCTTTACCTCTTGATTTCACTTGTATTCAATTGATTGTTAAGAAAAAAACAAACAAATCAGTCAAAGGTCTTATTCGTCTTGCTCTGTCATTGCCTGTTCTACAGATACGACTCTTTAAACTAGCCATACGCAAAGAGCTCTCTTATAGCCTATTTTAAGATCTTGCTTTAGGTTCTCTATCTTCTGTAGATAAGAGGTAGATAAGAATCTCTTTCATAAACCCTTTTTCCTTTCTTTTTTTCATTTATATAAAACCCTGATCGGCAAAGAGCTTTGTTAAGAGCTTTCTTGCACTCTTAATTTCACACGCATGTATGTTTATGCATGGTTGTAAATAGAAACCAGTAAGAGAACTTATTTTTTACTCTCTGCCGATGTTGGATATAAAATATCTCACAAAGAAAACAGTCAAAGAGCTCAATCGTCTTGTTCTGCCGATGCCTGTTCTAGAGATACTACTTCTTAAACCAGTCATATGCCAAAAGCTCTTTTATAAGCTCTATTGCGATATGGCTTTAGGTTCTCTATCTTTTCTCTTTATGTTCCCTAATTATTCTATAGCAGAGGTAGACAATAAGCTCTTTCATAAACCCCCTTCTTCTTTTATTTCATTTATAAATAATCTCTTCTGCCGATTTGGCTTATTCTATAGCAGAGGTTTTCATTTATATATAATCTTTCTCATAGATTCTCAAAGAAACAAAATGAGTCAGAGAGCTCATTCTTCATGATGTGCCGATGTCGAAATCTTTTACAAGCTTTCTCTTACTCTTGCTTTTACAAGCATACAAATGAACAAAACCAGTCAGAAATCTATTCTTTCTCGTGTGATTTTTGTACTTAACAATATCTTAGGAAGTAGTTATTTAACCTACCACAAGTAAACTACTGTAGAGTTATTTGTTTCTTTCTAGTCAAAGTGAATGTAATTATAATAACCGAAATGCCACTTGGCATCCTCTTAATCCAGTCATATTCTGTAATTCTGAAATCAAAGATAACATGAGTTTCAGATGTTGCAGCAATCTCGAACTTCAGGGTATTTCCACATGCGTACGTGTGTGTGCAAAAAATATCAAACGCATGTTTTATACATATATTTTTTTCTGCTGTCAAAAGCCCCCAACAAGTCCAAAATAAATTGAGGAAAAAAATCGAGTTGCTGACTGTTAAAATACGTGTAACGTGTTTGAATTTTTCTTTGAATTGTCGCACTAGTGACATGTGCTTGCCATAAAGGCCGGTCTTTCTATTTGACTTTTTTCACGTTCTCTCTCCTTTAACGACCAATTTCAGTCTTTACCCAGCAAGCACAACGTCATGGGTTTAAGAAACTATGCTACTGAAACCAAATTTCAAATTTGAAAATTATTAGAATAAGAGTTTTTGTAATGTGAAGTTTGACACAGTTTTAAATTCAGAAAAGCTTTACTACTGGCTATCAAATAATTGGATGTGAGAATACAAAATTTTTGAGAGAAATGACAACTATCTCCTACATTTCCCAACTATAGCCAAAGAAATTCGTAAACGTATATATTTTAAAAAGATTTAACTTCACAACATTGAATGGATCTTGCATCTTGAGACGTGTAGAATGGTTTAAAACTAAAAAGTTTTTCCCAAAAAGCTTATGTTTGCTGGGTTACTTTTGCTGTTAACAGTAGTTCTTGTGTATATTAAAGTTTTATGTCTGCAATGTGTACTTCCCAACATGTGCGTGTATTCATGTTATGCTTCTGCTTAATAAGCATTATGTCACAATTATCCTTTATACACATAAATACATTTAAATTCTGTTGATACCTTTATTATCTGCTTTGTTTTTTTTTTTTTGTTTCTTCTCCTTTCTTGTTGCTTTATTTTTTCTTTGCTATTTGACTGTCACTTTTTCTGTTGGCGGCATAAATGTATCCCTTTGTCTCGGCAATATTAATATTCAGCTGCAAGAGACAAAACAAAATGTTGAAATTTAATTTAGATTTTAAATTAAGAATTTATACTTTATATTTATATTAAAAAATCAAAATGTTACCAGTAAAATGTGTTATGAATATTAAATGAGTGAGAAAAACAAATAATGTAATCCGGGATTTGATGTTATTAAAAAAATCGTATTCAAATGGTCAATGCAGAGATTAGTTTTGGAAACAAAAATATCATGAATAAAACTGTTTAATAAAGATTTCAGAGAACAAGGTCATATAACGAGAAATGTTTTTATTTGTTTAAGGTAACAGCATAATTTTCTAATATTTGAAAAAATTGTATAGAAGGACGTGTTCCCAGTCCAGCATATTGTTGACGGTATAATTCAAATCTTTAATAGTCTATAGTCTAGTCCATAGTCTAGTCTATAGTCTAGTCCATAGTCTAGTCTATAGTCTAGTCTATAGTCTAGTCTATAGTCTAGTCTATAGTCTAGTCTATAGTCTAGTCTATAGTCTAGTCTATAGTCTAGTCTATAGTCTAGTCTATAGTCTAGTCTATAGTCTAGTCTATAGTCTAGTCTATAGTCTAGTCTATAGTCTAGTCTATAGTCTAGTCTATAGTCTAGTCTATAGTCTAGTCTATAGTCTAGTCTATAGTCTAGTCTATAGTATAGTCTATAGTCTAGTCTATAGTCTAGTCTATAGTCTAGTCTATAGTCTAGTCTATAGTCTAGTCTATAGTCTAGTCTATAGTCTAGTCTATAGTCTAGTCTATAGTCTAGTCTAGTCTAGTCTATAGTTTAGTCTATAGTCTAGTCTATAGTCTAGTCTATAGTCTAGTCTATAGTCTAGTCTATAGTCTAGTCTATAGTCTAGTCTATATCTGTAGTCTATAGTCTAGTCTATAGTCTAGTCTATAGTCTAGTCTATAGTCTAGTCTATAGTCTAGTCTATAGTCTAGTCTATAGTCTAGTCTATAGTCTAGTCTATAGTCTAGTCTATAGTCTAGTCTATAGTCTAGTCTATAGTCTAGTCTATAGTCTAGTCTATAGTCTAGTCTAGTCTATAGTTTAGTCTATAGTCTAGTCTATAGTCTAGTCTTAGTCTAGTCTATAGTTTAGTCTATAGTCTAGTCTATAGTCTAGTCTTAGTCTTGTCTATAGTCTAGTCTATAGTCTAGTCTATAGTCTAGTCTATAGTCTAGTCTATAGTCTAGTCTATAGTCTAGTCTATAATCTAGTCTATAGTCTAGTCTATAATCTAGTCTATAGTCTAGTCTATAGTCTAGTCTATAGTCTAGTCTATAGTCTAGTCTATAGTCTAGTCTAAAGTTAGTCTAGTCTAGTTTAGTCTAGTCTATAGTCTCGTCTAGTCTAGTCTAGTCTAGTCTTAGTCTAGTATACTCTAGTCTAGTCTAGTCTCGTCTAGTCTAGTCTAGTCTATAGTCTAGTCTATAGTCTAGTCTATTAGTCTAGTCTATAGTTTCTGTCTATAGTCTAGTCTATAGTCTAGTCTATAGTCTAGTCTATAGTCTAGTTTATAGTCTAGTCTATAGTTAGTCTATAGTCTAGTCTATAGTCTAGTCTATGTCTAGTTCTAGTCTATTAGTCTAGTCTATAGTCTAGTTCTCTAGTTCTATGTCTAGTCTATAGTCTAGTTTAAGTCTGTCTATAGTCTAGTCTATAGTCTAGTCTATCGTATATCTATAGTCTAGTCTATAGTCTAGTCTATAGTCTCGTCTATAGTCTAGTCTATAGTCTATAGTCTAGTCTATAGTCTAGTCTATAGTCTAGTCTATAGTCTAGTCTATAGTCTAGTCTATAGTCTAGTCTATAGTCTAGTCTATAGTCTAGTCTATAGTCTAGTCTATAGTCTAGTCTATAGTCTAGTCTATAGTCTAGTCTATAGTCTAGTCTATAGTCTAGTCTATAGTCTAGTCTATAGTCTAGTCTATAGTCTAGTCTATAGTCTAGTCTATAGTCTAGTCTATAGTCTAGTCTATAGTCTAGTCTATAGTCTAGTCTATAGTCTAGTCTATAGTCTAGTCTATAGTCTAGTCTATAGTCTAGTCTATAGTCTAGTCTATAGTCTAGTCTATAGTCTAGTCTATAGTCTAGTCTATAGTCTAGTCTATAGTCTAGTCTATAGTCTAGTATATAGTCTAGTCTATAGTCTAGTCTATAGTCTAGTCTATAGTCTAGTCTATAGTCTAGTCTATAGTCTAGTCTATAGTCTAGTCTATAGTCTAGTCTATAGTCTAGTCTATAGTCTAGTCTATAGTCTAGTCTATAGTCTAGTCTATAGTCTAGTCTATAGTCTAGTCTATAGTCTAGTCTATAGTCTAGTCTATAGTCTAGTCTATAGTCTAGTCTATAGTCTAGTCTATAGTCTAGTCTATAGTCTAGTCTATAGTCTAGTCTATAGTCTAGTCTATAGTCTAGTCTATAGTCTAGTCTATAGTCTAGTCTATAGTCTAGTCTATAGTCTAGTCTATAGTCTAGTCTATAGTCTAGTCTATAGTCTATAGTCTAGTCTAAGTAGTCTATAGTCTAGTCTATAGTCTAGTCTATAGTCTAGTCTATAGTCTAGTCTATAGTCTAGTCTATAGTCTAGTCTATAGTCTAGTCTATAGTCTAGTCTATAGTCTAGTCTATAGTCTAGTCTATAGTCTAGTCTATAGTCTAGTCTATAGTCTAGTCTATAGTCTAGTCTATAGTCTAGTCTATAGTCTAGTCTATAGTCTAGTCTATAGTCTAGTCTATAGTCTAGTCTATAGTCTAGTCTATAGTCTAGTCTATAGTCTAGTCTATAGTCTAGTCTATAGTCTAGTCTATAGTCTATAGTCTAGTCTATAGTCTAGTCTATAGTCTAGTCTATAGTCTAGTCTATAGTCTAGTCTATAGTCTAGTCTATAGTCTAGTCTATAGTCTAGTCTATAGTCTAGTCTATAGTCTAGTCTATAGTCTAGTTATAGTCTAGTCTATAGTCTAGTCTATAGTCTAGTCTATAGTCTAGTCTATAGTCTAGTCTATAGTCTAGTCTATAGTCTAGTCTATAGTCTAGTCTATAGTCTAGTCTATAGTCTAGTCTATAGTCTAGTCTATAGTCTAGTCTATAGTCTAGTCTAGTCTATAGTCTAGTCTAGTCTATAGTTTAGTCTATAGTCTAGTCTATAGTCTAGTCTATAGTCTAGTCTATAGTCTAGTCTATAGTCTAGTCTATAGTCTAGTCTATAGTCTAGTCTATAGTCTAGTCTATAGTCTGGTCTATAGTCTAGTCTATAGTCTAGTCTATAGTGTAGTCTATAGTGTAGTCTATAGGTAGTCTATAGTCTAGTCTATAGTCTAGTCTATAGTCTAGTCTATAGTCTAGTCTATAGTCTAGTCTATAGTGTAGTCTATAGTCTAGTCTATAGTGTAGTCTATAGTGTAGTCTATAGTGTAGTCTATAGTCTAGTCTATAGTCTAGTCTATAGTCTAGTCTATAGTCTAGTCTATAGTCTAGTCTATAGTCTAGTCTATAGTCTAGTCTATAGTCTAGTCTATAGTCTAGTCTATAGTCTAGTCTATAGTCTAGTCTATAGTCTAGTCTATAGTCTAGTCTATAGTCTAGTCTATAGTCTAGTCTATAGTCTAGTCTAAAATCTAGTCTATAGTCTAGTCTATAGTCTAGTCTAGTCTAGTCTATAGTTTAGTCTATAGTCTGGTCTATAGTCTAGTCTAGTCTATAGTCAAGTCTATAGTCTAGTCTATAGTCTAGTCTATAGTCTAGTCTATAGTCTAGTCTATAGTCTAGTCTATAGTCTAGTCTATAGTCTAGTCTATAGTCTAGTCTATAGTCTAGTATAGTCTAGTCTATAGTCTAGTCTATAGTGTAGTCTATAGTGTAGTCTATAGTCTAGTCTATAGTCTAGTCTATAGTCTAGTCTTTAGTCTAGTCTATAGTCTATAGTCTAGTCTATAGTCTTGTCTATAATCTTATCTATATATATTCTAGTATTTAATCTAGTATAAAATATTTCAGCCTGTTTTAATTATTCTTATTTTGATTCTATTAATTTTAAAATCTTCAAAGAGTACATAAATTACACACTGTACATTTGAATAATCTGACACAATCAAGACAGCTCAACCTCATGAAACTCAGCATATTTATTTAAACTATAAAAATAAGATTGAAAAAATAGAAAAAAAATATAATAAGTTTCTATATATTTAAAAAGGCATCACACACTCATGTATTCACTCACACACAACCTTTTGACCTAATGGAAATTTCTCTAAACAAATAAACTCAAACAAATAGCATCAAAGAGTGTAATAAACCCGCACACACATACACTATAAATTGTGCAATCTAAAATGTAAAGGAATAAAGAAAAGAAAACAAACAAAAAACAGAAAGCACATTTTAAAGCCTAACTTCCGGCGTTGTTATTTAATTGTTTATAAATCAAAACCTATGTTAAGGCCATTTGTTTCCACACATACATACATATGTATGTATGTATGTATACATATATATAATTAAAAGAAAATTGAAACAAGAAAACGGAACTTTTTAGTTTAGATTTTAGTTAATTATAAATATATTACATTTACGCAGTTATACTCTGTTAAGTGTAGTTATGAGTTTTCTTTTTACATGCATGTAAACTTGCAACATGCCACAAATTATACATGGAAACAAACAAAAACACAAATAAAACAAACAAAAAATGAAAACAGTTTCTGTTGCTAAACTAAAATTACCTTTAACTTAAACTTCCTTGAACAAAAACAAAAGAAAGCAAGAACTCGCTTAGAATCTGAAATGAACATTTACAAACTATTGTGCTTGTATTTTTACACAAATACATACGCAAAAGTATATATACTCGTACTTTTTTAAACAATAAACCTGCAAATTTACTAACAACAAACATGAAAATGTCTACTTATACATATGTATGTATGTATGTAAGTGTGGAAAAAATAGTTACATACGAGAGAAAACATACATATTTTGTACAT